AGGGCTATGTTTTATAGTTGCCCACGAACAGTTTGGAATCTTCCAAAAACTTGTTATAGAAACCTGGCCATGTTCTGCCAGGAAAGTAGTGTGTCCCAAAGCTTGTTTCTTGGGGAATGTTGCTCCACCACAGCACGGTACATTGGGAAATATTTCATAGAACATAACTTCTTTTGGACTTTAAGATGCATATTTATATTTTAAAGACTCTGAGAAGTTCTGTAGTAAGCCTGTTTAACTTTGAAATAATTTTCCATGACTTTTCATATTTTCCATGGAACACAGCTCTGGCCAGGGGAATATGGGATGCTGCCATCAGTCTATTCAATTATCTGTTTTCTGCTCATGACGTATCAGTTTGACTATGTTGGATTTGGATACAACTGTCAATCAAGATTTTGTAGGGCTAAGATGATCAAACTAAGACACAAATTGGATTCATGGTCCAAATTTATGGAAAAAAGTGGATGAATAAGCTTTTCACAAAGCTGGATTTGGATACAACTGTCAATGAAGATTTTGTAGGCCTAAGATGATCAAACTAAGATACAAACTGGATTCATGGTCCAAATTTATGGGAAAAAGTGGATGAATAAGCTTTTCACAAAGCTCAATTTATTCAATTTGAAGGACTGACATTTATTCTGAGTCCTTCAACGTTTCATTTATTTTTTCTAAAATTTTATTTATTTGTCAGAGAGAGAGAGTACAGGCAGGGGAAGCGGCAGGCAGAGGGAGAAGCATACTCCTCACCGAGCAGGGAGCCTGATGTGGGACTCCATCCCAGGACCCTGGGATCATGACCTGAGCCGAAGGCAGACGCTTTAACCAACTGAACCACCCAGGCACCCCTCCTTCCACGTTTTAAAGTGAAATGTTGGTGATAGGAGATTTTAGTTGACTCAGCTATGAGCTTCATCACAAGACTAAATCTCCATCATGGCAGAGATAATATCTGTTTTTGCTCACAATTCTAAGGCCAGCACTAGTGGAGAGTCTGGCTCCCAGGAGGCTTCCCATAAAATTTGTGAAATAAATAGTAGTTATTCTGATTAGTGCTCTACTTGGCAAAATGTATAGTCAGCACCCCTATATTGGTCTAATTGTTTCTAACTCTTGAAAACCTTGGAATCACTGAACCAGATGAAAAGTCAGTTTTGCTAAAATGTATCTATTGCAGCAGAGACAGCTCTTCCACTGTCATTGGCAGGCAGCTGCCCCATTAAGCATTGTATTTCCAGCCCCTTTTGCATTCCAGTGAGGCCCTGTGGCTAATTTTAATTGACAGAGTGAATCCAGAAATGATATATGTCACTTCTAGATCAGGTCTCTCTCCATTCGCAAGGTGAATGCACAGGACCCTCAGGATCTTGGGATGATGGACACAGGATCTTGGGGACCTGAATCACCTTAAGAAGGAAAGTCAGTGACCAAATGAATCGCACACATTGAACTATTAAATAAACATGATATTTGTGTTCAACCACTCAGATTTTGGTATTTGTTGCAGAAGCCAGTGCTGGCTAGCATCAATATATGGATTCACACAAATATGTTTTCAGAGGCATATACTAGAAGCATAAGCACCAAAAGGTTAAAAGTGGTCTTCTCTACGTAATAGGATTAATGGATTTTGTTATTTACTTTTTCAAAGTTACCATATTTTCTAGACTCCCTTCAGTGAATAGGCATTACTACACATTAGGTTTATAATCCAGGGAAGAACACAAATAATATGTATGTGTTTGAATGATTCCAAACTCCAAGCCCTCTTGCTATTTTGTTTTAGGGATCTTTCTCCACTCTCTGGATTCTTCAAGCCCTTTGTTTGTTCTGGACCTCCAAACTGGGCATATGCCCATCTTTAGTCAGAACTGACAAACTGAGAAATAACCTCCCATAGGCATCTGAGGAATAATCACAACCCAACTTCTCTTTTTGCCTCTCCAAAAAGGTGGGTTACTGCCTTGGGGAGAAAGACTGCTTGGATCATTGTACTGTAGGTGGATCCTTCATTATTTCATTCACATTTGTAGCTTTTTATTCTGAAATAATTTCAAACTTAGAAAGAATAGATTTTTAAAAACCCTTCACCCAGAGTCCTCAATTGTTATCATTTTGCCATATTTAAATTATTATTCTTTCTCTGTAGATAGATGATGGATGGTAGATAGATAGATAGATAGATGATAGATAGATAGATGATAATAGATATAGTTAGATGGGTGGATAGATAGATAGATAGATAGATAGATAGATAGATAGATAGATGATAGATATAGTTAGATAGATAAGGAGATAGATAGATAGATGATAGATAGGTAGATAGAATTCTGAACCATCTGAAAATAATTTAAACAAAAAGTTGAAGACATCCGGCAATATTCATCAAAATTCAATTTATAATTAATTCAAAATTCTTGAAACAGATAATTATTAATTCTGTGATTTCACTTATAGTAATTTATTGTAAGGAAATACTTATAATCACAGCAATGTTTATCATACTGGAAAACAGGAGATGGCTATGTATCCAACAATAAGTTTGGGTGAGCAAATTGTACAGTACAATTATGTACAATGCAATTACCGTGTTTCCCTGTGTCCTTCTGTTTGCCACTCATCATGGGACTCCCTAGCCATTAAGATGAAGTTCAAAGCTCTTAATAGGTTTGCCTCTGTGGACTGCATCTCTCTTATCACTACCAGGACTCTCTTGATCCTGCCTGAAACTCCTTCAGAGAAAGTGATCATCCAAGATACCTTCAACCTCACCCAGCTTTGGTGAATATTGGTGTCATCACACATGTTTTTCCCACCCTTCCTGCATTAAGGATCAAAGCAGGGACCATCAGACATGGAGACTCTGTCCTCCTTTGGGTCTCAGGCAATCCTGCTAGCCTAGGAAACAGGTCATGCGAAGTGACCAAGGGCAGAGTAAAAAGCCTGGGCTTGGGGCACCTGGGTGGCTCAGTCATTAAGCATCTGCCTTCGGCTCAGGTCATGATCCCAGGGTCCCAGGATCGAGCTCCCCAACGGGCTCCCTGCTCAGTGGGAAGCCTGTTTCTCCCTCCGCCTCTCCCCCTGCTTGTGTTCCCTCTCTCGCTGTGTCTCTGTCAAATAAATAAATAAAATCTTAAAAAAAAAAAAAAAAAAAAAGCCTGGGCTCTTCAGGAAGGTCTGCTCATTGTAAGAGCAAACTAACTTATAATCTGAATCCTACCAAATTTTCAACAGATAACCTATTTTAATTTCAAATGAAGAGTCAATGCCTCAAAATTATAGATTCATGAGAATTCCTAAGAGAAGAATGTCAGCTTCATTATTAGTACATCAACTGGAAAGGTAGATTCCCTGAATCCACCAATGCAAACTTCCAAAAGCTGTGTATCCCTTTCTAACCTGTATATTCACCTTCCTCACTAAGAACAATGAAAACAAATATATTATTACATAATTTCCAAAGGAAATCACTTTACTTTGACATCTCAAATTCAGACTTTCTGAAATAAAAATAAACATGAAATTTCAAATAGGGAGTGTTTGGGATTATCGTGTTTCTTACACAAATATTTGGATGGAAAATCATAAAATTCGATATAGCACTCATGAAATAAAAACAAGTAAAGTTAACTATGAAATATGCTTCATAAATATTACACAGATTTCATTAAGTCGATAAATTCTGAGAACCAAGAAGGAAACACTCCAAAATACAATGTTTATTTAAAAGACGATATAGTTTGTGTTGAAGACATTGTTTGCAGGAGAGAAAGGGCTTACAAATGGAATACAAAAATGCAACATTCTTAATCCTTTTGACTGGACACATCAGTCCCGGATCTCTTGCTTCTTTCAAAGAGTGTACAAGATTCCACACAAACATTTAATTTTATTTAGTTTATTAATATGAGCCAAACAGACTTAGCTTAAGAAATGAGAAAAGGACGCGCAACAAGATTTGGCTGAACTACACAAAGGGAACCTAAAAAGTGACAAGATTTTCCATTGGTGATGGTTTTTCTAAGGAAAGTTAGTTTATTAACTAACATAAGAATAAATCTACCTTAGCAACTGTGACTTAAATTGAGTCAGGATGCCACACACATGACCCTCAACATGGTCAGTGAGGTGCTGCAGGGACCTCCCACCCTCCTAGGCTGGTTTGTACTACCTGGCCTTTGACCTGGAACCTCATGAAGGACCCCTCACAGCACAGGGTTTGCAGCCAGCTACATTTCCTCCTCAGCCTCCAATCCATTCTGTACCATTTCTGTGTTTCCCTTAGCTTCTTTCTTTTTAGAGAGTGACAGAACTCAAGAAAAAAACTCACCTGGTCAGCACTGAGCAGGGAAGGAAAAAGAAAATACTTTGAGATGGGTTTGGGGTAGTTTGGGAATACCAGTAGACTCAGATAAACAAAGAAGCTAAATGGGCATCACTGAAAAGCACTGAGGTAAGGGGCCCATCAGTTTTTCACAGAAAAGGGCAGAGCTGGGTTAACACTGAAGGACAGAGAGGACCATTGTCACACTGCGGAAGTCACACCCAAAGAACAATAAAGAGGAAGATTAAAAAAATTTAAAAAAAAAAAACAATTTTAAAGAGGAAGAAACATGGAACAGAGCGTACTTTCTTTTACATTTTTAAGGTGAAAGCATTTTAAGAAAGGAATCTGGAAGCCAAATCAATTAAAAAGTGAAATAACGGTAATGAGTCTTTAAATAAAATGAACCATGGAAGGAAATAAAGACCTCTTTCACTTCCACTTGACTTTGTCCAAATTGTTAAAAGGTTGTAAGTCAGTCCAGTTTTGCTTTATGGGCAATGGGTACATGTTATCTGACGTATCTGAGCAAAAGAAGAGAACCCAATGGACATCTCTCAGGTAGACAGGGAAGGATGGACGTAGGGAGGCAGGGCGTGTGTGACCGGAAGTTCTCCACAGGCCTCATGCTCACTCTTCATGCCCACAGTGTCTTGAACCCGACACGTTTGGATCACAGGAAGCACCGTCCCCAGGCACAGAATGATGACCACAAGCGTGTGCTGTGCAACATGCTGCTGAGTACCATGAAGCCCACGAGCAGCTCAAGAGAGCGATTTCTGCGCACAGAAGAGGAAGAAGAGGTTCCACACACCGAAGGCTCTGCTTTATACGGTCTTTCCACATGGGGAGGTAATGCGGTCATCCCTTGAATCTGAAAGCCAAAGAGTAGACAATGCCAATGATTGAAGAGAAGGTCTTGCTCAGCTCCCCGACTTGGGCAGGGTGAAAGGGATCGGTGGGAGGGGGTAGCTGCCCAAGGAGTCAACTGTCAGGGGCGTCGGAGCCTTAGGGACTCGGAGGGAGGTGAGGAAGAGAGCCAGAGGCGCCTTTGGGAAGAAGAGATACAAACTCAGCTCTGTTGCTTTTGGAAGCTCTCATCTCATCCTATTCCTGCTTCATTGTGACCTTAGTTGGACAGTCAATCTTCCAGTCAGGAGTGGAATCAGGAGTTTTCGGTCAACGCAAGCAGTTATTGAACAAAGAAATTATCAGACATATCAAAAGACAACTGAAACATTGGACTTATGGATATTTGTCCGTTCCTTAGATTTCTACCTGTTGGGGATTAGGTAAAATGTGACCTCTGGTTTCTCCAAAGATGAAAACAAAGTAGGGCTTACCGACCACTCTGCATTGTCCGTCTTGGAGCATCTCACGTTCACAGGCAAGCTAAGGACAAGCTTGTTGAAGGAAAGACCTTCCTTCTTAGCCCATTTAAACTTATTCATTGCGTCCATGAAAGAAAGGTTTTTATACTGCTTGGGGCTTTTGATAATGAAGGGCCAGGTCCTGAATTTAAAATAACCACAATTAGTCATATTCAGAACAAAAGCATTACATGTCTCCATTACTTTTCAACATTCTAAAATAGACCTCAGACTTGTCCTGTGTTACCACATAGAAAACCTAATGCAAAGGGTTGATTGACTCGTCAGCAATTGCCAGAAGAAACACGCATACAGAGTAAGGAGTCTTTTGAAAAAAATGAAATTCCTTATTTTAGTAGCAGATAGGTACTACTCTTGGATAAATGATTTTGACTCAGAAAGCTTCCCCCAGTTTCACAATTCCTCGCTTATTTGTTTTGTCTCTCCTTAACAATATAGCTGGTACGCATTCCGGTCTGCAGAATTTAACGTTAATGGAGTAATAAAGAAATGTGTTACTGGAAGACATAGAAATTTCAGTTCCATAGAGTTGAAAAGCCTGACCCCTGCTGGCTGCCCTGTTTTGACTTGCCTAAGTGATAATAAATTAAAAAAATCTGAACCTGAACCAGTATTTTTCAAATTTTACTGAGAAAAAAAAATACTCTGCAGAAGATATAGTCTGGTTTCTACTTGCTGCTCTAAAAAAACAAAAACACATTAATGCCCAAAAAAGAAGAAAGAAGAAATCACAGAAGAATGATACAATCTGCTTGAAAAGATATTTCTTGAGTGATGTTTTTCATTAAATGTAAGTTTTATATTATTGATTCCTGAAAAAAGGAAAAGTGTAAGTGTTGGCAGACCACAAAGATTTACCTGAACTAATCCATGGTCCTTCCCGGAGATTATCATGGGCAACCAGTAGGTATTTGGCTCCCATAACATCCCAAGTAGATGTTCCAGGGGTTCCAGTAATTACCTACTAATTAACCCCAAGGAATTTATACTTTTAATATTTGATCTTCACAATTTATTTTTAAAAAATATTTATTAATTTATTTGAGAGAGAGAGAGCGTGCGTGTGCAAGCAGGAACAGGGCTGGGGGGAGCAGAGGGAGAAGGACAAGCAAACTCCTCAATGAGTGGGGAGCCAAACGCAGGGCTCAACCCCATGACCCTAAGACCATGACCTGAGCCAAAACCAAGAGTCTGGCGTTCAACCAACGGAGCCACCCAGACACCCCTACAATTTCTTCATTTATCTATGCCTTTAATTACTCTCACACACACAAGCTACTCAGGCACATTGAATTACTAGCTTTTTAATTAAATTAACCATCCTTTATTGATCTTTTAGAGTTATGAAAATAAATTTTTAATGTCTAAAATAAAATTATTGCCCCCTTACTCTAATAAGTGAAAGAGAGAGAATCTGAAGCTGACTCTACAATGAGCGCAGAGCCTGAGAGGGGCTCACCCCACAGTGAGATCATGACCTGAGCCAAAACCAAGAGTCCCTGGCTCAGCCAACTGAACAACCCAGGCACCCTTACAATGTCCTTTCAAATATGTGGAAAGCTACAGGTAGGTTTTATTAAAAGTTTCAAAATCAAATATTAAGAATAACATTTGCTTTTCAAAGAGATAAGGTGTCCATCTTTAAAAAAAGAAAATCAATTTCATAACCAGTGAGAAATGCTGGAAGGAAATCATCAGCCTGTAAGCCCCTGAACCACCACAAGGTGGCACTGGAATCCGTACTAAAGCGCTAAGGGGGACTAAATTGGCTGCGCTTCCCCCAGCCTTGCTGATGAGTGAGTAATGCATTGTTGTACATAGATGAAATCTTTAAAAAGTTTTGCTGCTATAATAAATCAGTAAACCAGTATTTTTTTTTGTTTTAGATTTCACAGCATAAATTAACAAAAGTGGTATAAACACACTTGTTAATTTACTATAAGTGTATGGAAAAGGATGTAGAAAAAGTTCACATGTTCGGAGACCTCATGACCTAGGGCTGGTGACCTGGGCACGTGGTCCTGAGCCTCTCTGAGATGGCAGCTGGACTCATATTTATTGTCTCCCCTGCATTCCTGCTGACTTTGTTCAGGCCTCTATCTAAATGACATCACACCAATAAACCTCCTACCCCTTCCAGCCTATCCTATACCGCACTTCCAGATTACCCCTGGAAAACAGGGAATGGAGAGACGGAAGGAGGAGAAATCCTAAAAAAGTAAATATTGATCCTGAGTATTTTTCCTTAAAACACTCAGCTTTAAACCAGAAACAGGTAACCTTGAAGGAGCAAGTTCTGCTCTCATGGGGACTGGGAGTTGGTTAGGAATATTGGGAATGGGTTAGAAATTAAAACAGTCTCATTTCTGTACATCTGAGCCGTGTGTAAATGTCTACCCAGATGCATATATAAATAAGAGGGTATTATTTACGAATCACTGTAGTTGATAAAGACAAATTACATTATGACTTAATATTGGTGAGTAATTTTCCTTTGTAAATTTAATTGACAAGTTGATTTAAAAATATATATATAAATGAAATGAACTTAGACTACCCAAAATAATTTTGGAAAAAGAAACAAATGACAAAGTTTTGGGACTTACATGGTCTTATTTCAACACTTATTATAAAACTATGATAACAGAGTGTGATATTAGAGTAAGGCTAAACATGAACATCAGTGAAACAGAATTCAGAGTCCAGAAATAGTCAGTATATGATCCAATGATTTTCAACAAACATTCCAGGGTAATTCAATGGGAAAAAGATAAGGGTTTTTTTTTTTTTTTCATCAAATGGTTCTTGAATAACTTGATATCCATATGAAAAACTGTGAACCTCAGTATTTACCTCAGAACACACATGAAAATTTACTCACCATGGATCATCAATCTAAATATAAAAGCTAAAAACTGTAAACTTTTTAGGGAGGAAAAAATTGTCATAACCTTGGGTAAGCGAAGACTTCCTACACAGCATATCCAAAGCACAAAATAAATAAAAAATGACAAAATGGGCTTCAAAAAAATACCGTTAAAAAATGAAAATGAAAATCTCCACAGACTAGGAGAAATTAGTGTTAAAAATATATCTGACAGAAAGCTTATATCTTTTTTTTTTTAAGATTTTATTTATTTATTTTGAGAGAGAGAGAATGAGAGACAGAGAGCATGAGAGGGAGGAGGGTCAGAGGGAGAAGCAGACTCCCCGCCGAGCAGGGAGCCCGATGCGGGACTCGATCCCGGGACTCCAGCATCAGGACCTGAGCCGAAGGCAGTCGCTTAACCAACTGAGCCACCCAGGCGCCCCCAGAAAGCTTATATCTTAAGTATAAAGAACTCTAAAAATATAAAGAACTCTTACAACTCAATAATAAGAAAACAAGTAACCCAACGAAACAATGGACAAAAATTTGAACAATTAAAAAGGAACATATATAAATGACCAATAAGCATGTGAAAAGAGGATCAACATTGTTAGTCATAAGAGAAATGGAAAATAAAATCACAATAAGATACCACTACATACGCTTAAATAAAATTTAGGACTTCTTATACATTACTGGTAAGAATGTAAAAAGAAACTTCATTTTGGAGAGTATTTTGAGAGTCTGATGAGTTAAACAAATCCAGTGATTCCAGAACTCCATGCTAGTCCAGAAAATGGAAAACATGTCTATACAGAGACTAATATAATACTGTTCATAGCAGCTTTCTTCATAATAGCCAGAGACTGGACACAATCCAAATGTCTTTCAACTGGTGAATCAATAGATGAATTGTGGTGTATCCACACAAGGGAATACTACTCAGCAATAAAAACGAGTAGACTGCCGGTAGAGGTACCCACACAGATGAATCTCCAAAACACCCCGAATCCAAGAAGCCAGGCACAGAAGAGTACATACTGTAGGATCCCATTTTTATAAAACCTAGAAAAGATCGAACTAATGTAGTGCTAGAAAGCAGATTTGCAGTTTCCCAGGGCTCCGTGTGCGAGGTGGGACTGTCTCCACATAGCAGGAGAGAACTTATGGGGGTGATGAAAACGTTCTATATCTTGTCTGTGAAGGGGTGCATTTTGTCATAGGTAAGTTCTACCTCAAGCAATGTGACTTTAGAATAAAATTGTAAAACAGAAATAAAAACATACCAACAAGCCAATGAGAAAAAAGACAACATCATGTCATACACTTGATAATCTAATTGTTAAAGAAGAAAGCCAGGAAATCTGACCTAACAAGGTATAACTGAATCCTTTCAACACTCCAAGAGTAGAGGAACGTTGGGAAGCCCACAGTAAAGTTGTCTCCCTGATAGAAGAGAAGCTTCTGGGCCACAGTAGATTTGACTGCATGACGTAAGGCCTCAGACATTCCTCTATGGAAAGGGATTCAGTCCCAGCCAGTTAGAAAACTTCCGCAGGGGGCCGTCTGGCTGGCTTGGTCTGTGGAGCATGCGACTCTTGACCTCCGGGTTCTGAGTTTGAGCCCCACGTTGGGTGGAAAGATTACTTAAAAAGAAAACCTTTAAAGGGGAGCCTGGGTGGCACAGTAGGTTGAGTGTCTGACCCTTGGTTTCAGCTCAAGTCATGATCTAGGGTCGTGAAATGGAGCCCTGCATCAGGCTCTGTGCTCAGTGCAGAGTCTGCTTAAGACTCTCTCTCCCTCTCCCACTGCCGCTCCCGCACCCTCTCTCTCTCAAATAAATAAATCCTTTAAAAAAAATCTTATAAAAAAAATAAAACTTCCTTGGTAGATTTTCTTAAGAACATCTGAGGAAGGAATAACCCATCCACTGTAATCCAGAGTATACAGTCCCACCTCTATACCTCTATCCCCAGAGCCCTTTACCCTCAAAATACGGTAAAGTGTGTACATAAAATATGTCAGCCAAACCTCAAACTGCAGTGTGCAGAGACAGTGGGCTACTGTCACATTTGTTTAGAAGGTAGACAAGAATTCACCCACATTTTATCAGAGCAAAGGGACGTTTTAGATAGAATTAGCTCAGCATAAGCAAGAAATGACATAACAAGCCCACAAACATAGGGAAAGAAGAAATTATATCACATTTCATGAAAAGAGACAGAAAAAGCTGACTCTAGAAGAAAATATAA